AAATGGTGATACTACTATTAATGATGATACTACTATTCAGGAAAATGGAAAGACAAAGGAAATTGTTGAAGAGAGTGAGGAACTTGTAAAGAAGAAGAAGACAAATAGTCTAAAAAGAAAAGTAGAGGAATTAGGAAATGGTGATACTTCTATTAATGACGATACTACTATTCAGGAAAATGGAGAGACAAAGGAACTTGTTGAAGAGAGTGAAGAACCTGTAAAGGACAAGAAGATAAATAGTCCAAAAAGACAAGTAGAGGAATTAGAAAATGGTGATATTACTATTCATGAAAATGAAGAGGAAAAGGAACTTGTTGAAGAGAGTGAAAAACCTGTAAAGGAGAAGACAAATAGTCCAAAAAGAAAAGTAGAGGAATTAGAAAATGGTGATACTACTATTAATGATGATAATACTATTCATGAAAATGGAGAGGAAAAGAAACTTGTTGAAGAGAGTGAGGAACCTGTAAAGAAGAAGAAGAAGAAGACAAATAGTCCAAAGAGACAAGTAGCGGAATTAGAAAGTGTGGATACTACTATTCATGAAAATGAAGAGAAAAAGGAACTTGTTGAAGGGAGTGAGGAACTTGTAAAGAAGAAGAAGACAAATAGTCCAAAAAGAAAAGTAGAGGAATTAGAAAATGATGATACTACTATTCATGAAAATGAAGAGAAAAAGGAACTTGTTGAAGAGAGTGAAGAATCTGTACAGAAGAAGAAGAAGATCAAAAAGTATAGGTGAAACGGCAACGTAAATAATATTACATTTTCGTACTTATTTTATTGCAATACTTGTTATCTTGTGCATACCCATTCAAAGAAGTTGCATACTCATTTTACAGAATTTCGTAAAATTTCCACATAACTTTTTATTCATTTTTCCGTTACAATTAGAAATATACTTTATTTAGTTATCCTATTTTGAATTAATATAAAACGACTTTAAAATTATCTTTTTAGAAATCTTATTTCTTGTTAATATTGTTTATTTTATTTCAAGTTAACATGATATACTATTAGTATTATCTATATATTCAAGTCTATATCCTGATTATTCTTACCAATGTGCATTGTAAATAGTTGTATGTATATAATTTTATTTTTATAATTGTAAATATTGGTAAAAGATTATTGTTTGTATTTTTACAGTATTTGAAAAAAATTTCTTAGTTTAATAAAAAAAAACCTTAAAATTTATTTATTATAATTTATTTTTGCTTCGTTTAACCCATTACCTATCAATGGCCTTTTCTGGGATGCAATTTTAAATTTTTTGTTTTAATAACTGCAACATCAGAATAAAATACCCTAGTAGTACAAAGATATTAGATTAATATCTTTTTCACGAAAGATGAAAGGTCGGAGAAAATACAAAGCTCCAGATATAATAAATGGTACAAGCTAGTGGTAGCGGAAGGGTTACTAAAATATTTCGAAGGTAAGTGGAGTGAAGAGAGGAAGAGAAGAGTGGCGAGATTCAGATTACGGAATGAGATGAGGGAAGGGAGATACTGGGAGGAGGAGGAGAGGAGACAATGCAGGGTGTGCGGATGAGAGAGAGAAACGTGGGAGCATTTGTTGGAATGTTGCATCAGAACGATAGGTGAGGAGGAGGACGGGAGAGGAATAGAAGAGAAAATAAAAGAGATTTTGGATGAGAGTGGAATAGGAGAAGAATGGATGAAGAGGGTTAAGAGCATAAGAGAGGGGAAGGAGGGACAAGGTTGGGAGTGAGGGTGGTAGAAGCGGGGGTGTGGGACGAGTGGAGGAGGAAGGGAGAAGTGAGGGAGAGAGTAGTGTTAAGATAGGTTAAGGATATAATTGTAAAAGGAGTGTAACCCTTCGGGGAAGCAGTAAAATGTATCTATCTTTAACCCTTACGCTACGGACGAATTCTACGGCGCGCTACTCCCGCGGGACGGGCCGCTGCGCCACAAGTGTGCACTTGCGGAAGAACTGAAGTCGCCTGCCGAAACGATTCTTTTATACTGATGTTCATATTGCCAGTTAAAAATCTCAGAGTGTAAAACAAATGCTTAACAATTACGATGGGTTACCATGGATATAACATATAAGAATTACTCGTGCGTTTGCACGAGTAACTATACTGACCGCCTGTATGTAGTGAGCATCAGACGTTGGGTAACTATAGTCACATGTCCGTACGTAGCGAACGTCAGGCGTTTGGTGACTATAGTCACCGCCCGTAGCGAAAGGGTTAATTGTCTTTCATCCTTGAAGGTGCAGTAGCCAAGAATAATGTTACAATTTGTTGTATTTCGACATCAGTAATGGACGCACACTATAACACAGAACATTGATTCAAGAACAGAGAAATAATAATGATGATGAAATATATATATATATAATGATAATAGTTTATTTAATTAATTGGAGAGCAGTATTTACAAAAGTTTACAGAAAGTGGCGTGGTTATAAAAATACAGAATATAAAAAGAATTACAAATATAAGACCGACCGACTGACTGATTGATAAACTGACTGATTTACAGAATAACTGAATATGCAGATAATTCACAGACGGATACAGACAGACTGACCCAAAAACTGAAGACTGAAAGACTAAGCACTGATACAGACAGACTGATATGCAGACAGACAGACTAAAAACTGATAGACTAACTAAGGATAGGCTTTCTTACTCCTTTTCACATATTTATATCAGAAATGAGCTACACTCCTTTAGAGAGGGAAGGAGATTATGAATCTTATTGACCAATAGCATAAGGATCCACCCCAAAGTCCACCGATAGGTATAGCCTATGGTTTTTGGTAATGAAAACTATGCATAAAGGAACTTTGTCTAGAATATCAGAATATCACTTCTTTTTATGGTATCGTACGTGCTTAGATAGGAATCCAGAACTTCTCAAAGGGCCCAACACTGCACAAAAGGTTTACATCGCACCAATATATCTCGGTAATTCTTAGGTTTGTTTATGGCCCTCCTAAATCTTTTCTTTTAGTCTCTCAATAGTGTTTTTCTTTCCAGAAAATAAATAAAATATAAAGAAAATAACTAAATACTAAGTTTTTCGTCTACAAATTAGACATTGATATATCTCGTTTTTGTCTGAATGTGATACAATTTTCAGACAACACGAGAAGTCGATACAACTCGCAAAATGTCTTTTAAAAATAAAAAATTTCAAATATCAAAAAGAACATGGGCTGTTACTTTTGAAAGTGACCTAACTCCATTTTCCCCCAAAAAATCGAGTTAGCTACCGTAATAGTTACATTTTTACATGATCTATTCATTCTGAAGCAATTTGTTACAAATAATATTTAAAATCATGAAGATTTTGTAAGAAGAAAATTTGCTGATCAACAAAATGATGAAAAGTTTATTTTGAAAGTGGCCTTTCTTCTCCATTTGTGGTTAGAAAACGCATATTATTTCATTTTCATTATTGCCACTATTTTTAATAGAAAATAAATTGAACACCTTTAAAAACACTTAAACAGTATAATTCGTTAGTATATTTTGAATAGCATTGAAATGCAAACCTTTAAATATTTCGTTTCGAACTTTAACGGAGTTAAGGTCACTTTCAAAATAAACGGCTTATATATTTTATTTCTAATATTAAATTAACATGTATTTCATATAAGCCTACCTATAAGCATAAAAAATATATTTCTTTGTAATATGAAATAAATGTTAAATTAATATTAGTAAAAAATATTATTTTCTAAATCTATTAAATGGAATATTGAATGAACATTTGAAAAATTATTTTCTATATCTATTAAATGAAATATTGAATGAACATTTGAAAAAAAATATTTGTTTCTAAATATGAAATGTCTGATTTCAAAATGAAAATAATCCGAGTAATCAGACATTTCATACTTAATAACCTAATACATAGTGATTACAATTAATCTTGACCCGGCTTTTCATTCAGCTAATACTTTTCTTTTACGGAACTATCTCTGTATAAAGGAGACTGAACCTTGAGTTTTCCAAAATTATATTTAGACGTGGTGCACACCTGCAGAACGCGGCATAGCTGGCTTGCATAAGATGGTAGGAGATCTAGCCACTTAACTTTGAGAGCCTCGTTAGGGATGGCGTTGTTGGAGAGGCGCTTCATGTATCTCAGGAACTGAGACGGGGTGCGGTTCTCCAGACGCACCTCGTTAAGGACCTGATGGAGTTGGATGTCAGCTGACAGTGCAAGGCGTTGTAGCACGGGGTCTTCCGGAGAGCAGTGTAATGGTTGGTAGCTGGGGGTTTTAAGATGATGTCAGACACTTCTTGAACGATCCTGGTGGAAGGCTGGCAACGAGCAGGTTGTAGCGGCTGTGATCGGCCACCGTGGATGTCACAGGTCACCTCGAATCTCTCAATTTTGAGGCGCTGGAGGTTGAGAGAGGTGCGTTCTGCGAGCGACGGTAGCTCGTCGTTAAGAGCCTGTGTGTGTCGTGGCGATGGCCTGGGGACCGAGCGCAATAGGCATGCTTACGGTCACGCAGATTGGAGTCGCCGGCGATGGCAATGACGCGGCAGCGTCAGTCGACCCATCCAGAGCAGGAGCATTCTCGAGTCCTGGAGAGGGCGTCAACGACGACGTGTCCGCACCGGTCACGTTGCGTCAGGGTTGGAAACAGATGTCAAACTACAGCAAGAAGTCCAGCTGCTGCTGCTTTCTTCAAAGATGCACCGGAACTGCCGAACAGTCCTGAAGATGGCTAGCAGCTCTCGGTCGTAGGTTCTGTAGAGGGCCTCCGTCGGTGTCAGCGTTGGGAGAAGAAACCGACCACCTGCCATTCTCCGATGACCTCTTGCAGGAGCACGGCGCCCACAGCCGAACTGGATACGTCGGTGGCCAGGCGAAGAGGAGCGGTTGGCGACAGGAACACAGTGTTTGAGCGAGCTCTCGATGACATAGAGGCAAAAGTCCGATGAGAGTGTGGAGACACCACCACCGTGTACCGCCACAATGTGCGGCGGTGCTATTAGTTTAACGACCCAATCGGCCAGGAAGTCTCATAGTGCACAACAGCGCACGGAATTTTCCTGGTACACCCGATGATAGTGGCACCAGCGCTGTGCTGCTGGCGCGGCGCCCCCTGCGGCCCTGCCGATGGAAGGTTTACGTGCACGTGGTCGAGATCTCGATCGACCACCAAGGCTGGCGGCCAGCTAGCTGAGCCATGATGAGGTTTCGTGATAACGACGAGGTGGAAGAGCGTCGAGCGAATTGCCGCGAGCCACGTGGTCCCGCTGAGGCTCAGGCCTAAGCGAGGTGGCGTCGGGCTGAGAGATAGAGCGACCTCGCCGCACAGAACAGACGTCCAGGAAGGTCTCGATGATCTCGTCGGCCGTGCAGGCGACGCACCTGGTTGAATTATTGTTCGTGTTAGATAGGTATAATGGGGTGATTATATACGGTCTCACCAACATGAGTATGTACATACTCACCAAATTGATGTGTTCTTAAACTCCTCTTGTTCTCTCGCTTCAGGTGTACACTCGCAGGCGTCCAGCGGAAGAATATCCCAATTGTTTTTGGTATTCTTCCCAACAGGACGCTTGTAACAAAGATTTTAGTGTGGGGGGGGGGCGTCCCCGCCCCATCGTTCGTTCGTTTCTTTCAGGAAGTAGCGTGACGTCTTACTGCCACGGCGCGTATTTCGACTAGCGTTTGACAGTCTCAGGTCGATTCCGACCGTTCATACTCCCCCCGTTGAGAGTGTAACGATCAATTACCTTAGCCACCAGTGTCGGTGTGACGTGATTAGTTAAAATAAAGTTCACAATGCTTGAAACGCGGGTCGCTTAACCCTTTCGCGCCGCATATATACGGCATCCACGCCATAACGTTCGGCGAGTCTCCGTTCAGGGTCGGTACCTCGGCGGACGGGACTGCCGTAGCGAAAGGGTTAAAGAGGTGATATTCTGGTCTAGAGGCATGAATTTTAGGTACTTTTTCAAGTGCAATAACAAAAAAACGAATAATATTTTCACTATCTATAATGCAACAAGATATTTATTAATATTTCAAGAATAGATGAAAAAAGAAAATTGATTTTTTCCAATTTCTAGACCAGAATACCCCCCCTTAACATATTCAATACATCGCTGGTCAGGTGATCTATCCGTCTTGTACGTAAAAGAAAAGTGATTATAAAGTTTAGACAATAAAATAATGAATAATAAAAGATAATAAAGTTTAGAAATGTCAATGGTTCGATTCTAAAAGATACAATACAATACATTTAACGAGTATCTATTACAACGGGCAAATAGTGGTCGCATTTCGCTTTACAATTCCGTAAGTAGTTTTCACGGATACTACTCGTATTACATCATCTTCTCCTGGGTGATTCAAGATCCGTCCCAGCGGCCACCTCATACAAGGTTGATTCTTGTTAATGAGAATGACGACGGTGTCCTTTTTAATTTTATTCTGGGAGTGTATCCACTTTTGACGTTTTTGCAATTCTCGTAGATACTCGATGTACCATCGTCGCCAGAAGTGTTTTCGTACTTTCATGATGTGCTTCCATGAAGATAATTGATTTGCTGGAATCTTAGTATAATTTTCCTCTGACAGTGTCGTAATTGGCTTGTCAACTAGAAAATGTGCAGGACTTAGTGCTGTTACGTCGTTCGAGTCTGACGGGATAGGAAATAGCGGACGCGAATTTAAAATAGCCTCGATTTCGATCACGAATTTGGTCAACTCTTTGTACGTGAAGACAAGTTTTCCCACGACTCGCCTAAAATGATGTTTGAAAGATTTAACAGCTGCCTCCCACATACCTCTGAAATGAAGTGATAGGGGAGGATTAAAATGCCATGAGATTTTATGATCTACCGCAAAATCGTGGACCTTTGTCTTGTATTCGTCCGACTCGATCAAGGCGTATAACTCCCTTAATTGGTTATTGGCCCCGATGAAATTGATCCCGTTATCGGAATAAACGTGGGTCGGAACTGCTCTTCGACTCACAAACCGCTGAAAGGCGGCCAAGAACGCGTCCGTAGTCAGATCGCTGATCAATTCGATGTGTATGGCTTTTATGGTCATGCAGACAAAGATGCACCCGTATATTTTAACGCAACCTTTATTACGGTGCTTCTTTTCTTTCGCGTAAATTGGACCGAAGAAATCCACTATGACGTGGGAGAATGCGGTGACTTCTTGCTCTTGCAAGCTCGGTAGGTCATCCATTTTATTTTGGATGCCGGATGCACGGAATTGAATGCAACGTTCGCAATTACGTACGATCTTTCGCACCTGATTCTTACCGTCGAGGAGCCAGAATCGCTGCCGAAGAGCATGGAGGGTAGTCTGTATGCCGGCGTGAAAGTTTTGTTCGTGGAATTTTTGAATAAGGAGGTCGGTCACATGGTGGTACGATGGTAATAATATCGGGTATTTCTCTTGGAAGTTTAAATTCGCGTTTCGAAGTGGACCTTCCACTCGAATTAAGTCTTTTTCGTCGAAGATCGGATTTAATGTGGCGAGTTTTGTGCTCTTGACTCCCTCCGCGTCTGTTAACCTATCCATTTCGGCGTGAAATTGTTCGCTTTGCACGATTCTTAGGACACGTCGTTCAGTTTCCGCCATTTCCGCGGTCGACAATTCTCCCTTATACGTGTTGGTCTTAAGCCATCTCCGGCATCGAGCTACAAATTTTAATAATTGCGTGTAATTGGAGAATCGCTGAAATATGTTTTCCGATTCAATTCGTGTCGTTAATACCGATAATTTTCTTACGTCCGGCAGTTTGAGGATTTCTTTGTCGGTCGGAATGGGCCACTTGGCCTCCGGTTGTTTGAGCCAAGAAGGTCCATAGAACCATGAATCGTTCATCACGAAATCTCGAGGAAGTTGTCCCCGAGATAATATGTCCGCTGGATTGTTTCCGGATTGCACGTGTCGCCATGTGATTCCTTCACAAATCTCTTGTATTTCGCGTACGCGATTCGCCGTGTATATTTTCAACGTACCAGGGTCTCTTTTCAGCCAACCCAGTACAATCATGGAATCGGACCAGAAAGTTACTTTGTCGGATCGCAATCCGGTAGCTATTCGGACTTCTCGGTACAATCGCGCAAGTGTTAATGCTCCGCATAGTTCTAAACGTGGTATGGTGGTGTCTTTAAGAGGAGCCACGCAGTTTTTAGCGCAAAGTAACCGTACGCTTATGGCATCGGATTCATCTCGCGATCTGATGTATAAGCAGCCACCGTAACCAGATTGACTTCCGCCGCAGAAACCGTGTATTTGTACTTCGATAGGGTTATCGAGTGTGATGCGTCTCTCGATCGTTAAATTATCGATTAGTGTCAACTGTTCCGCGAACGTTACCCATGAGGAATGTAATGCACTAGGTACCAATTCGTCCCAGTCGATGTGGGTTTTCCAGCAATCTTGTATTAAGATTTTGGCTGTTAAAATAATGGGGCTTAAATGTCCGAGCGGATCGAAAATCTTTGCGACTTCAGATATAATTCGTCGTTTAGTAGTTTTTTCCTTAATGTCTATGGGCGTGACTGAATAGATTAGACGATCATGATGGGCGTTCCATGAAATACCGATTGTCTTTAAAATAGGAGTATCCTCAGAGCAGAGGTCAACGTCGACGTTCTTTGTATCTAAGTTTTTGAGCACCGGTCGAAAGTTGGACGACCATTGTCGCATATTAAACCCGCCTCGTTTCAATATTTCGATGATTTGATCGCGTATTTTTCCGAGGGTTTCGACATTGTCGGCTCCCGTGATGAGATCATCGACGTATAGATCGCGGTTTAGTATTTCGGCTCCGAGCGGATAATTAGCGCCTTCATCTTTCGCGAGTTGTTTTATGGTTCGCATAGCAAGAAAAGGTGCTGAGACTAATCCGAATGTCACCGTGTTAAGTTCGAACGTGCAAATCTGTTTGTTATGGAACCAAAATATCCGTTGATATTTGCGATCGTCCGGATGAATCCATATCTGTCGATACATTTTCTCAATATTCGCGGTCAGGACGTACCGATACGTACGGAATCGTAACAAATGTTCTACTTGAGTGTCTTGAATTGTAGGTCCGACTAACAGGGTACTGTTGAGAGAAAGTTTCTTCTCATCTTTCGTAGAAGCTGCGAATACGATCCGTACCTCTGTTTTCATGCTGGTTGATTTAAAGACCGAGAAATGGGGAATATAGCAACCTCCCGGAAGATCGTTTGCGACCATCGACATATGTCCTAAATCGATATATTCCTGCATAATCCGTTCGTATTCCTTCCGGATTTCGGGAGTCGCCTCTAACCTCTTCCAATGAGTTTGTAAACGGCGTAAAGCTGTAGCGCGCATATTGCTGTAATCGTGCCCCTCTTCGCGGAAAGGTAGACGCACAATGTACCGTCCCGATTCGTCACGTTTCGTATTTTGGACATAATGATTTTCGCATTCTATTTCATTTACTGACTTTGATCGTGTTATATTCGTGTCTTCTATAGACCAAAACTTTTCTAACTGTTCCTTTAATTCGGTCGTCGCAAAGAACGTGTTGTTTAAATTAGGTTCTTTCGATTTGATTCCGACGATCACCCAACCTAATTCCGTCTTCTGGAGCATAAAATCACCGCGTGCTTGTGACCAAAAAACTGGTCCTATCGACATGAGGGCTAACGTTGTTTCAGAACCTATCAAGATTTCGACCGGTCGTGGCAAATGGAACTGGGGATCCGCCAGTTTTCGATCGCTCGGAATTTGAGCGATTCTTCGCGGGAAAATTTCGCTAGGTACCTGATCGGCTATCTTAGGGACGACGAGTAACGAGAGATTCCGTCTATAAAATTTACAGTGTATCGATTGAATTCTTATTTCGATAATGCCTGCCGATAGAGTTCTGGTATCATTTATAGCATTAATGGGGATCGAACATGGCTTAATCGGTAAGAGTAAATCTCTCGCGATGTTCTCTGTAATGAAGTGTGCTGTGGCGCACGTATCTAATAACGCCCGACAGTTTTTAAAGGTCTTGTCTCCCCTTTTAACACCGCAAATAGCACTCATAAGGAGTTCATTCGGTTCACAGCGCAAGTTGACATGAAAGATCGGTGTTAGTCGTAAGGAGATAGGTTTGGTTTGGGATGTCGACGCGAACCCGCTCTTCGCGGGGGACTGGCTCTCCAGTTTCACGATCTCATATTTGTCATAGTCTATGTGCAGTGACGTATGATGGGCATGGTGACAGACTCGACAAAACGAGCTCTTGCATGGATCCCGGTGCTTCCGTAAGCAATTTTTACATACTCCGTGACGTTTGACCGCCTCCAGTCTGTCTAATTTCGTCATGTTATTGAACTGGGGACAGCGGTATAAAGCATGGTCATCTCGTTTACAAAAACAACAATAATTACGGGTAGAAGATGTACTCGTTGAATGTGTATTCTGTCGTTTTTGCGGCTGTATAGTCGTCGTCTCGGGATATCTACGTTTTGCGCAGGACTCGAGGGTCGCGGACGGTGGCGGAGTCTGCAACGGAGTACTAGAACGCGTAGATCTGGTTAAAAAATCAAAAAACTGTTCAATTGTCGGATATTCGTTAGAACCGGTCTGTTTGTCCCATTCTTGTAGCATGTCAAGGGGTAAAGCGCGTTCAGCGAGACGTACTAGCAATGCATCTAGATTATTAAATGAATTAATAGTGGAGATATGAGAACGCAGTTCATTCAAAAATGCTGTTATGTCTTTTGCCGACCTGGTTTTTGGTCGAGGTATATCGATCAACGCGTCGAATGCTCGGGCTAATAGAATACGTGGTATGTCGAACGCTGTCAGTAAAGCTCCCCACGCTGCCTTATAATACTCCCCGGTTAGTTGATAATGTTGGATCGTTTGGAATGCCTGGCCGCTAAGGGCGTCGCGGAGGTATACGTGCTTTTCCAAGTCCGACAAGTCACGGCGCGCATCTACGAGCGTCAAGAAGTTAGACTTGAATGAGAGCCATTTTCCCATATCTCCGTCGAATCTTGGGATCTCGATACGGCGAAATTGAATCTGCTGATGGCAAGTATTCATAGTATCGTTATTCCTGTTAGAGTCGCTCGTAACCGCGGTCGTATCATCCGAATCAATTTTGTCTCCGATTGCGAGGTATCTCTCTACAAGCTGCTCTAATTCGTCGAATCCTCCTTCTTTAATGTCGTCATCAACACACTTTCGATACAATTGTTCGTAGCTATCTACTAAGTTGGTGAGTCTTTCGTAACGCTTTCCTAACTCCTTTTTACTTAAATTTCCTTCTTTGATTAAATTTTCGACGTGAGATAACCGCGATTCTAAAGCTTGCCGTTCTTGTCTGAGCTGTTTTCGCGATGCCATTTTGGACCGGTATTAACTATCCTACTCTTCGAAAGTTACTCAATTAATTTATAACAAATGCAAAAATCCCTTTTGTGTATGAATTAATTGCCGTGCGTTGGGTTCTCGATCACGCGGTACAGCCCTGAAACTATAGATTGTGGAGGGGATGTACGCTTCTCACTAGCTGCAGACCAATGGTGGGGATACAAAGGAATACAGGGAAGCGGCGGAACCACCGAAAATATGATAGTTCTTTGTCGGAGGACAAAGCGATTTCAAAGAGGTTACAAAACAACTAATTTACGAATATATACGTTACTCTTGTTGATTTTAATAATTACGTTATATATGTCTGTTCAAAACTTGGTACGAGACGACCTTTTATAAAATGATGAATGAATGAATAATTATATTGGAAATTGCGAACTTTTACTGGGTTCGAAGACGCAATTTCGCTTGAGGTACGTATTAATAATTAAAGGTGTGTACGCACAAACGCACGCACGGATAATTAAATATACTTATCTCGGTTTTAAATCCTTTGTGATAACGGCTAAACTAGACGGTGTAGATGTTCGTAAAATGGTGATTCTCAACTTTGTTGTTTTCTAATCCGTTGGCACGACGTGGAGATAATCTGTTTGAAGCTTCATAAACCAGGAATCGGGAATTCACACCTCACAGGAGGCACCAAAATATTACACAGATTTCTGTAACATGGAGTCCACGAGTAATTAGTCGGCTAGGAATAAGGATAAGAAGGATGATAATAAAAATAAATTAAACACGTGGTTGAGCCAAAACACAATGTGTTGTTTTATTGGCTCGTCAGGGAAAAGCCTCACGGCATATAAACCCTGGTTGTGATAGCAATCATCGGTTAATCATAGTGATGATCAACAATGGCGATGCACGTGGTTGAAGTATTCTTCGTATTAGATAGGGTGATCTCACCAAATTAATGTATTTTCAAATTCCTCTCGTTCTTACGCTTCAGGTATACACTAGCATGCGTCCAGTGGAAGAATAAGCCGATTGTTACTGGTATTCTTACAAGCAAGACGCTTGTAACAAAGATTTTAGTGGGGGTAATGCGCGTGTCCCCCACCCCTCGATCGTTCGTTCCTTTCAGGAAGTAGCGTGACGTCATACTACCACGGCGCGTATTTCAAATAGCGCTTGACAGTCTCAGGTCGTTTCCGACCGTACACTCTTTTTTATGAAATCTTGTTTAATGTTAAATATAGATTTTTCAAAATTAAAAGAAAATCAAGAAACAAAATATATATTTTTCCAACGTCAAACAAAAGATTAGACGTTTCACCTTGTTCGCATTAAAATCAGATCAAAATAAATTTAAAATCGATCTCTTGATCGTATAATCAATAAGGTTATTAATTCGATATTAACGTCGATAGATAACCTTCTGACGATTGACCTGCCATCTACAAGATGTTTTATGCTAGCAACATTTCCACGAGTTAATTTGCCGCTTGTGCACGTGTTTAGCAAGTGAATTAATAATTACCTAATCATAAATTACATATTTCTGTGCAAAGTGAATCAAATATTGAAAAAATCGAAACATGGTAAATTAATTATTCTTATTTACTAATAATAATAATATAAATTTACATATAAAAATATAATATATTAAGTGATATATAGGTTATTTTTTAAAAATCAATTTTAAGGAAATAAACAATCCTTTTGTTAATTACTAATAAAATAATAATAAGAAGAAGAAGAAAATTTAAATCATTATTTATTTTTTTTAACTTAAATGTGTATTTTTTCAGGCACAAACTTACGTTTTATATGAGCACGCTGCAGGTTATGCTGTGTTCAGTATAAAAGAATTTGAAGAAGTAGGAATGTTATTACCTCAAGTTGAAGCATCAGTAACAGATGTATCACGATTTAGATCTGTCGTGAAACTTGTTGGATTTTTACCTTTTAAAACTGCTTTAGCAGCACTAGAAAATGTAAACAGTATCTCTGAAGGCATCGTACCCGAAGATTTACAATTGTTTTTAGATTCAATTGTGCCCAAATCTGATAAGAAAAATAAAATTATTCTTGGTGTGTCGGATCCAAAATTAGGTGCCAGTATAACAGAAGCATTGGGCATAAAATGTGATCACACAGGTGCTATACCTGAAATCATTCGAGGAATACGATTCCATTTTCATAATCTAATTAAAGGTTTTACTCCCAAAAGTTCTGCAGTAGCTCAACTCGGACTTGGTCATAGTTATTCAAGAGCTAAAGTAAAGTTTAATGTCAATCGTGTAGATAATATGATCATACAAAGTATAGCTTTATTGGATCAATTGGACAAAGACATTAATACATTTAGTATGCGTATTCGGTAAGATTAAATTCTTTGTATGATAGAATATATGATAAATTTTATATTGTTTAAAAATCTATGTTATAATATGTTTACTCTGTTTCAGTGAATGGTACAGTTATCATTTTCCGGAATTAGATAAAATTGTTCCTGAAAATTATATGTTTGCTAAAGTAGCACAAGTAATTAAAAATAGAAGTGAATTAACTGAAGAGAGGTTGGATGAATTGGAACAAATTGTTATGGACAGGGCAAAGGCTCAAGCAATTATAGATGCTTCTAAGTCTAGTATGGGTATGGATATCCATCCTGTGGACCTTCTTAATATTGAGATGTTTGCTAAACGTGTAACAGGATTGGCGGATTATAGAAAGAATTTATCTGAATATTTAAAATCCAAAATGGACGGTATTGCACCAAATTTGGCTACTCTTATAGGAAATCAAGTAGGAGCCAGGTTAATAGCACATGCTGGATCTTTAACCAATCTAGCCAAATATCCTGCATCTACAGTTCAGATATTAGGTGCTGAAAAAGCATTATTTAGAGCATTAAAGACAAGAGGTAATACACCAAAATATGGATTATTGTTCCATTCTACATTTATTGGTCGTGCTGGCACTAAAAACAAAGGTAGAATTTCGAGATACTTGGCTAACAAATGCTCTATCGCATCAAGAATAGATTGTTTTACTGAAACACCAACAAATATCTTTGGTGAAAAATTACGTCAGCAAGTAGAAGATCGCTTGAAATTCTATGAAACAGGTGAAATACCTAAGAAAAATATAGACGTGATGCAGGAAGCATTAGAAGAAGTTCAACATGTAGTAACTGAGACAGAAATAAAATCATCAAA